CTCCCAGCGCCCTCTCCCTCCGCCGGCCCCGGAGACCTCCGGGCGGCAGGTGGGCGGCCGGCGCTGCTGGCTCCCGGAGGGATGCTTTGTCTTTCCCCGGGCAGGCAGCGTGCAGGCTGGCACAGGCGCCCGGCACCTCCCACACACGACCCGGGGCGAACTAGCGAGCCACACACGCCGTTCCCGGGGCCGAGCCCAAGTTTCCTTTGTTTCCCCGGACCTGCCATCTTACCCCCCAAAAGAAAAGTATGAGCCTCCCGCGCGGCGGGCAGCCTCCAGTCCCGGCTGTGACTACGGCGCGGACCCCGGGGCTCCCTCGGCTAGGGTTTTCTCCGATTTCCGCCCCAGAGGAAGGGGAACCGTGCGGGGTTTGTGGGTGTCCCGGACCTGGCGACGGGAACAGGGCGCCGGCACGCGCGTGCCCTTCCCAGGCTGGTCGGCCGGGCTGGCAGGAGGCGCCCGCGCTCAAAGCAATGTGTGTGCGCTCGGCCCCGCGCCCGTCACGCCCGCCCCTTCCCCCAGCCACTCGCTTTGTTTTTGGAGCTCCTCGTGTTCGCCTGTGAGAGTTCTATGGGGCATCCCAGGTCCCCGGCCCCCCGAGAGGTGGGGAGCCGCCCGCCGGGCGCGGACACGCTGCCCGGACACTGGTGACGACTGAGTTTCGGTCCCCGGCGCTCCTCCCTGCCGCCACTGGCGGACGCGGGCGAGGAGACGATAACCCACTCGGAGGGGTGATTTCCCCTCCCCAGCCCTAAAGGCCCCGCCGGCCCTCACCACGCGGCTTTGCTCCCAGGTCCTACCCAGGGAGCGGGAACCTCCTTGGCGGTCCCATTAGAATTCGCTGCCCCAGTGGAATTCCTGGGGACATGCTTCTTTGGTCTCTGTTGCAACGTACTTGCTCATTATCCTTTTAAAGAGCAAAAGCTTTCGGGATAAGGCTTTTACTTTTCCATAGCTGCCATTAGGCGATTTAACGAACTGGTGCATGTAGGAGATTAGTCATTATTCTGCAGATTTGAGTGGAATATATTTTCTAACCATCCTATTGTGAAAACTTTCAAGCACACAGTGAAAGTAGAAACTCTTTTACTGGTGGAAGGTTTTTTATTTAATTTGAGTTGCGGGACATAATCTTTTTAAAGTTTGCCCAAGTGGTTTGCCGTCTTTGAAGCAAACAGAGACCAAACATAGTAGGGCTGTAAATTTGTTTAAATTTTACTTTTGCAGAGCAACCTGGTTAAACAAGGTTTGTTTTACGGAAGCAGAGTGGCAATGGAATCCACAATAGTTGGTCTGTGACTGAATGGGCCTGTGCCTTACTGGTCAACCACTTTAACTCAGTAACTTTCCACGTTTAGTATGTACTGTGCAACACTTGAATTTCTGTCCTGCACCAGCGGATTTTCCTGTTTTACAGTATTATCACCTTGTATAGAAATAACCTAGCCCGTTCCAGGACGTGAATGGTCTGTGGCCCAGAAGTGCCTCGTCCCAAGGCAGGGCCCATAGGAGAAGCTGCTTGTTGAACTAAATGGTGGTATTCATAGGATGCATTAATTTTGTCCTGTATCTCCTTTTTCTATTCCTGGTCCCCTCCTCCTCCCTCCTCCTTGTTATTAATTTGAAGAGATTAACTAATGGAGTGGTTAAGAATAGATTCTAGAGCCAGACTGCCTTCGTCCAAATCCTGGTTGTGCTACTTTTACTTGAGGCAAAAAGCCTCCGTTTCTTCATCTGTAAAATGGAGATAATAGAGCCATTATGAATTAGTTATTAAAGGGTTGTTGTATATAAAGTGTTAGAGCAGTGCCTGCGTTACCCTGGGAGCTCTCAGGTGATATTTGCTCCTGCACTGAAGGTCTCAGGAACCTTCTTTGCAGCTGTGTGATTCATGAAAGACATATCAAGCACCAAATAGTACCCAAATCTGGTAAGGCCCCTCATCACCAGCTAATGAGACTGCATAATTCACGAAGCAAGGCCCTTCATATCTGCCTAGCAGTTCCCCTGGGCATCCTATAAGGGGTGTTACCTGGGGCTTTGACAATTCTGTACCCTGGAGGCTTAGCCCTCCTAGGGAAGTCCTCATTACAAATCCTTCATGCCACTCTATTTCCTATATGGCAAGAAACTCAAGAAAACTGCCTGAATCTTTCTTCTAGGTTTCTTTCTGTGAATTCCTTCTTCCTGTTCATTCTTCTCTTCTGGTTTTCCATAGTCATTTGTTTGCTTTTCCCTTAGTCAATAATAGCTCATGCTCCTAAGACTATACATTGTGAATCTCAATAGTCATCCTAGAATTTTTCTTAAGACACATTGCCAATTTACATTTTTATGAAGAAAGTATTTCATGGAAGGATCTTGTAACTGATGGATTCCATACATTGGCATATGTGTGGAAAGTCATAGCTTTAAGTTTTAATATTTTTTCCATGAGATAGCATGTGACCCAATTTTTTGATGCTAGTTCTCTTATGAGTAAAATTAAGGAAGCAATATGTACAATTTCTTAGTGCAGAACTGTGAGGAGTGATGAAGAACCAAACTAAAGATCCAGAGTCTAGGTAGACTCTGAAGTCAGACCTGGACTTGAAGCCTGCTCCATCACTTTCTAGGGGTCTGACTTTGGGAGAGCTTCCCAACCTCTGACACCTCAGTTTTCTCATCTGGAAAATGGGCTAATAATACCTGCCTCACAGGGGTATGATCTTCACTGAGATAATGTGTATGGTTAGCAGAGTGCCTGACACATAGTAGGGACTCACTAAGCTGCCACTTCTGTTGCTGTAGGATCTATTCATTATAGTGTGGCTTTTGAAATCTTTCATTTGTATAGCAATTGCTCTTTTTCTCAAGCATCTTTGCAGGTGGTATTTTGTATGTGCACCTATGAGGTCAGTAAGGCAGACCTCATTTCTGAGGCACAGAGAAGTTAAGTAACTTACCCAAAGCCACATAGCCAGTTACGGTACCTCACCTAAAACCATAACCAAAGTTTCCTGACCAGATCCCAAGTGTTTTCTGTTTTGCCAACAAGAGCAGAGACACGTCTTCCTACACCATATCCTCTTCATCAAGCACTCAATCAATGTTTGCTGGCTGAATAGGCTAATGTTAAGGGAGCAGGTTAATTTGCTTTTTTTTTTTTTTTTTAATTTGCTTTTTAAGGTAAAATAGTAAATCCTATTTTTAGGGGAAGAGAAGATATTACTTGACATTTTTAGAACGTCAACAAAATGGGTATGAAATATATTAATCCAATAACGGATGTTTCTTCTGTGCTTTATAGCAGAAATGGTGGCTGGAATAATTAAATAATTCGTTTAAATTCTATTCTGCAATATGGTGGTGTTTATGTTCACAATACTCTTCCCCCTTATTCCGTACCACCATTAAATGCATTAAATTCCATGCATTTAATATTTTGATCTATCCTGGTTTTTTAGCTAAGCTTTGTTCCAAACCCAGGAACTCCAGCCTGCTCCAACCATGAGATGGCAGTGAAGGTGACCAAGTGAAAGAGCGTTTTTGACTGAGTAGGTTCTAAGTCCTGGGGCTGGAGCTTGTTTAATCAGCAGATGGAGTCGCAGCCTGACTCTCTGTGGGGACGTGCTGCCCTCTGCTGACCATAGGGACCCCTCAGCTCTCACTGTCAAAAAATAAAATAAAACCCCTCCTTTGTGCCGACTATAAAAGCCCTGAATTTTTGAAGCCTTGTAAAGCTAATAAACCGCAATGAGCTTCCTTGACTATTAGTTCCTTTTTTCCCTCTAGAGACTCAAAGAAATTCTCTCAGGTCTTAGGCTTCAATCAAACAAGAAAACAAATGTAAAGTGTAGGAATTGTATTATTTTCAAATGCAAATTGGTAGTAGGATGCCTGCCTCTAAGCATCCTGGGGATTTTTTTCTTAAGGAAATGAAACAAAAAGAAGTAACTCTTAATCTCCTTGGCCAGAATTTAAATTCAGTGTCTCCATTGTGTGTTGTCAAGGATGTGAGAAAGCCAGTCTTCTCATCGACACTGATGGGATTATAGAATGGAATTTGACATCTATCAGTATTAAAAATACATATCCCCCTTAGACCTAGCAGTTCTAATTTTAGGAACTTAGCCTACAGATATACTTGCAGAAATGCAAAAGGGTTTTTGCAGCACTGCTTGTAACAGCAAAGGATTGGAAATCACCTAATTATCCACCGATAAAGCCCCAACTAAAGAAATGATAGCATGTCCGTATCACAAAATATTATAGATCATTTAAAAGAGCATAATATATACTACAAAGAAAAATAACCAAATAAATTCTTCAGTGAAAAAAAGTAAGATACAGAACACTGTGTACACTAAGGTACTATCTGTGTTGAAAGGAAGGAAGGAAGGAAGGGGGAAAGGAAGAAAGAAAGAAAAAGCTAGACAGAAAAAGAGATTATTTCCAAAGGGATACACAAGAAATTGATAGCGGTACTTGCCTCTGAGCAGGGAGCTGGCTGGGCTAGGGCACAGAAGAAGTAAGAGCCATTTTTCATTACATACTGGTTTGTACTCTTTGAATTTTGTACATTACTTATTCACAATATGTACATTATCTATTCATTTATCACAATAGATAAAATCATTTAAATAATGTCAATACATTCTGTGGCTGACTCCCATAAAGCAAATGTGTGGAAAACGGATTTTTTCCGGCCCCCGGGAAAAAAATTCATTGTACCCCACCCCCACCCCGCCTTCTCTCAGGAGCCCTCCTTCCATCATTCACAGGTTCTTGAACAGAAATTATAGTTTTGCCTCAGCTCATCCATCCAATGACAACTGTGAGACCAATTCTCTCGAGTCCAGATGGTACACACACAAAAGCTTTCAGGAAAAATGAAGAACGGAGCTGAAGAAATAATAATGAGAAATCACTTGGCAAATCATCTATTTCATCATTTTATTCTCCCTGTGGTGTCTTGAGCGGCCGAGGCTGTTAGAGGAAGAAGAGCTTGGGGTTGGGGGTTGCTTCACAGAAGGCCTGAGCTGGGAGGGGTTAGTCCCTTTAAGGGAGCTTTTAAAGATTCCCCTTCCACTCCTGGGCAGGAGATGGAGGCGAGGGCTAATTCGGTAAATCCTAGCGTGGGTGAAACCCTACTTCATCCTCACAGAAATGAATCTTCAGGCCACAAGAGTGCTACATCATTTGCCGTTTACATGTGGACCCTAAACGATCCTTTGCTTGGGAATAATGAAACTGGAAGAGTGGTAAAGTATATATACATTTTTCATGCTCCTATGATTTTCAGTCTTATTTCCATATCCTTTGTTTGTCCAGGTCCTTCCTTTTACGTTAGGTTTCAGGCAAGAGGGTCCCTTATGCTACAAGAGATTAGTAAAATTTTAAGTGGCCAGGAAAATTGGATTAAATATTTTTACAAACCTAAATAATGTTATAACATGTAACACAATGGTCCATTTCATAAAATGTGACATTGTGCCGGAAAGAGGAACCACATTTTCAGACTTTGTGAAATAACAGTCAGCCATTAAAATAAGATTAAGTGAATTTTTTTTTTTTTTTTTTTTTTTGGCTGCACTGCACGGCGTGTGGGAAAACTTAGTCCCCCAACCTGGGATCGAACCTGCACCCCCTGCAGTGGAAGCACAGTGTTTTAACCACTGGACCGCCAGGGAAGTCCTAAGGCTAGGTGAATTTAATAAGCTAGGTTGAAAAGGGATTTCTCTATTGAGAGCCATATCTATATATATAGATCTTTGAGTTTTAAAAAAAAGTCCTCTCAACATTCTTTTACATATTTTTTTCTTTTTCAGATTTTAAGTGTAATATTTTAAGGCCCAATATAGAAAAATTTGGAAAATACAGAAAAGTATAGTAAAGAATATTAAAATTACTCATAGACCCCTAACCAGAAATAACCACTAATAATAAATTTTTTAGTATTTTCTTTTTGATTATGTATATACTTATGTATTTAGAGTTTGCTGGCTTATTTGTTTTGCTGAATTAGGAGCAAATGTGCATAAAGTTTTCTATCTTGTTTTTTCCACTCAATAGAAAACAGTAAAAAAAATTTAATCATAAAATTTGAGGCCACATGACAAGATTAATGAAATAATGGGGTGACCTGTGCAAGCGACCAGCTAGGGTTTCTGCAAGATCCAAATTCACCCAGGTCCTCCTGGCTTCAGTCTGGTGCACTGGTGGCATTTATTTGCTCCAAATATTGATGGGGGTGATTCAGGGTTCAGGGGTTGGCAGGGCTTCCAGGACCGCAGGGTCAATTTCTGGACTCTTTTGGAGCTAGGAGAACACTGGGTCTCTGCATCCCTGCTTTCCAAGAAGGGATGCTCTGTCCCTTGTCCTCCCTCTACATTCCCCACACCCCAGAAGGCCTTTAGTGCAGCCTTATTAGAATTAGAAAAGGGGAGCTGATAAGGATGAGAGCCAATAGCATTGTATCTGAATTTGTGTTATCTCAGGACGTATTTTTGGCAGCCTTTACTCTATTTTTCTTTGTCATTACATGTTCTTCAAAAATATTATTCATAATGACTGTACAAAATTCTTTCTTATTGAATGTTTGTTCCTATTGTAGATAACCTCATAAACATCCTAACACACATGTTTTGTTTTCATTCCTGGTTATTTCCTTAATGGTACATTCCTAGCTTGGATCTTGAAATAAACAGCCAAATTGTCATCTAGAAATGTACACTCACAACAGCAATGTGTGAGATTGCCAAATCCACAAACCTTTGCTGAACGTGAGAATTATAATAGAAAAATATTTTTAAATTTCATAGGAAAAAAATCTCATTTGGACTTGCATTTTCACTATCAGTGAGATGAAGCAGTTTTCAGTTATTTATTAGCCATTTGGATTTTTCTTTTTATGAATTGTTCTGCATACATTTTGCATATCCACAGAAGTGACATGTGTCATGAGTGTGCTCAGGGTGAGGAGACAGTAGACTCAGATGTCATTTGGTTAGGTCACATAGAACCTACATATGGAAAGGATGCAGAAGTAAGTCAGTGCAGTCAGCCGGGCTTCAAAGCAGAGAGATCTACAGTATTTTCCAGGCTAGTCGGAACATGTTTTCAGACCCTGAAATCCTCCTTGGGGTGCACAATTGCAGACGATAAAATCTAGGTGAATGAGGGTGAGATCAGTACTTCAGGAAGCTTACTGGTCTCTCTCAACACCCAGTCTTACATACTTGAGGCTAAAACAGTTCTGTACATAAACTCTAAACAAGTACTACAGGCCACCACCACTGGACCTGGAGCACCTCTTCAATCTTGGAGTTATCATGCTTCCTGATTACAGGGTATGGTGCCCTGAGGCATGAACTGGGTCCTCTTAATCTCTTTCAGCCTCAAAGGAGAACACATCCTGGTTCAAGAACATTTTCAAAGTTAGAATATTTACTATAGGTCTTAGTTGTCCACATACCTGTGGGTGTCAAACTAATACTTTTTTTAAAAAAATATATTTATTTATTTATTTTTGGCTGCATTGGGTCTTCGTTGCTGCGCAAGGGCTTTCTCTAGTTGCGGTGAACGGGGGCTACTCTGCATCACGGTGCGTGCGCTTCTCACTACGGTGGCTTCTCTTGTTTTGGAGCATGGGCTCTAGGCGCGTGGGCTCCATAGTTGTGGTCTGTGGGCTCTAGAGCGCAGGCTCAGTAGTTGTGGTGCACGGGCTTAGTTGCTCTGCAGCATGTGGGAGCTTCGCAGACCAGGGCTCAAACCCATGTCCCCTGCATTGGCAGGCGGATTCTTAACCACTGCGCCACCAGGGAAGTCCCTAATAAGTTCTTGAACCAGCGAAAAGCCTCTTCCTGTTGTGTTCTTATGTATTGTAAGAACTCTTTACATATTAAGAAACATTGGCTCATTAGAGATTTGAGTGAGGCTTTTGCTCATATGCTTATATCTGACCAGAGTCAAATTAAGTATAAGGACAGCCAGACAGTGCCACGTGTACCAATCTACAAGGGACCCTACAGCATCATCAGAAGTGAAATGAGGAAGAAAATATTTTCTTTTTTTTTTAAGATTTTTGTTTATTTTATTTATTTATCTTTGGCTGTGTTGAGTTTTTAGTTGCAGCACGCAGGCTCCTCGTTGCCGTGTGCGGGCCTCTCTCTAGATGTGGCGTGCGGGTTTTCTCTTCTTTTGTTCAGACGTGCAGGCTTAGTTGCCCCACGGCATGTGGGATCTTAGTTCCCTGACCAGGGATTGAACCCGCGTCCCCTGCATTGTAAGGCGGATTCTTTACCACTGGACCACCAGGGAAGTCACGAAAATCTTTAAAAGTCTTTAAAACCATCCTCTCCAGAGAATTCCATATGTGGTTAGAAGCAATATTTGATATACACTTGGGGAAGTACTTGAATGAAGTAATATCCAAACTGTTAACCTGTTTTCTTGCTTGTTTTGTTTTGCCGGTTAATTTGCTTAAGATAACGGAGGACACGTTGAATGGTGCTGCCATTCCTCTCTCTTCTTTAAATTTCTCAAACTCTCCTCTAAAGAAAGGTAGAAGGGAATTCGCCAGTGGTCCAGTGGTTAGGACTCCACGCTTCCACCGCAGGGGGCACGGATTCAATCCCTAGTCAGGGCACTAACTTTCTACATGCCACATGACGTGGCCAAAAAAAAAAAGGTAGAAATATTTTAAAATATTGAAGGTACAACAATTAGTTACCGTACCCAGGGTACCCAAATGTCTTGGTTACTTTTTACTTATTCTTAGCCCTTTTTTTCTGCCCCAACATGCTAGAGGATGATAGCAACCTACATTAGCATCAATATCTCTGGACAGCAGCAATTCCCAGGGGAGTCATTGGGAGCACAGGTCTGCCGGGAAATCAGACCCTTCAGAGGGGGTGTGGTTTGAAAGAGTTTCCTAGAGTTTAGAATCACTAGTGATGGCATTATAGCTTTATTAATTAGCAATAAAGGGTGTAGCATAAGTTGTAAAGCGTTAATCAGTAAAAAGCACACATATGACACAATGAGTAAACAAATAATTTAAAATAATTAGTATTTATTCCCTGACTGTGTACCTGCCATCGCAAATAAGGAAGTTCAGAATATAGTGCTTAATCTGCAATTTTTTCCCTTTAATTGCATCTGCCACCTTTTGTTAATTTGAAGCAAATTAAACCCTGAAGGCAGCATCCAAAAGTAAGAAGACTAAGCAGATTTCACTTTTCGGCAAAAATTATACAACAGCTTCCCCATCTTCAAAACGGTGAGTCATTCTTTTCCAGATGTGATAAACTATTTTCTGTTTCAATAGCATGCCCCAAGAAGTGACACGGTGATGCCAAGGATATGACAACCAACTCCCTTCTGCATGCTGGGCTACATAAGCTACATGAAACCCTTATCTCTTTGGGGTTCTATACCAGTGCTGTCCAATATAATTATAATGCAAGCCACATATTTTAAATGTTCAATTTTCTAGTAGCCACATTAAAAAAGTAAAAAGAAACAGGTAAAATTAATTTTGGTAAGGTATTCTATTTGACCCAATATATCCAAAATATTATCATTTCATCATGTACTCAATATTAAACAATTATTGATGAGATCATTTATATTCTTTTTAGCTTCCATATTAGTTATCTATTGCAGCATAATAAATTACTACCAACTTAGTAACTGACAAGAACACATTTATTATCTCATTGTTTCTGTGTGTCAGGAATCTAGGCATGACTTAGTGGATTCTCTGCTTCCAGGTCTCTCAATCAACAAGGCTGCAATCAAGGTATCAACCAGGGACAGGGTCTCATCTAAGGCTCAACTGGGGAAGAACACTTCCAAACTCACATAGTTGTCGGCAGGATTCAGTTCTTAGTGACAGTCAAACTAAGGGGTTCACCTTGCTGCTGGCTGTCAGCTGGAACCCATTCTCAGTTCTTTGCCACGTGGGTCTCTCCATATGGTGGGTTACTTCATCAGAGCCAGCAAACAAGAGTCAATAGAGTCTACCAGCAAGATGGAAATTACAATCTATGTCATATAATTGTGGAAGTGGCATCCCATCACCTTTGCCATATTCTGTTGGGTAGAAGGAAGTCACAGGTCCCACCCACATTCAAAGATTCCAAGAAGGTGTGAGGCAAGGATTATTGGGAGCCATCCTAGAAACTGTCCACCACAGTACTATCTTTGAGATCCACTGTGTATTTTCCACTTACAATACCTCTCAAGTCAGATCAACCACATTTCGAGTACTCAGTAGCCACTGACTAGTGGCTACCATATTGGACAGCAGTATTCTGTAACAGCTTAAGCCCATACATCTGGGAATTACAGGATACCTGAAAACCGGTGTAAGCAATCATGTGTTTATATGGACAACTTAAACTCAAAAGAATTGAAAGTATAAAATATAGAAGGTTAAAAACATTTTGTTACTTTTAATAGGTAAAGAACTTGGGACTTCCCTGGTGGTCCGGTGGTTAAGACTCCACGCTCCCAATATAGGGGGCTCGGGTTGCATCCCTGGTCAGGGAACTAGATCCTGCGTGCCACAACTAAGAGTTAGCATGCCACAACTAAAAACAAAAAAAGATCCCATGTGCTGCAACTAAGACCCGGCGCAGACAAATAAATAAATATTGAAAAAAAAACTCTTATTACTATCATTTTAAATCTGGATCCTCAAAGCAACTAAGGCCAGGAAAACAGTCTTGCATTTGTTTTTACAATTTTATATTATCCTTCGCACTTCCCCTGGCTTACTGGCAAGTCCTATAGGCTGAGAGAAAGAGCTAAACAAAGGCAATTTACAGAAGGGTTAGGTAACCATAATATCAGAGGGCTCCCAGAAAGATATCTTGGTGAGTAATCTTATACTTTTCCCCTGCTTGATTCCTAGCAGGACCACTTTAGCCAGTCAAAACAAAGAATCGATCCTTGCATAATATTTTACCAGAAATAGGAGGCTCAGAGGAGGGATGAAGATGGGGATAGTTTCCAAGCAATTCTCCAGTTTCCCACTTGACCCCTGTGCGAGGCAGCCCTGTGTGAAGAGGAGCTGATCCCTGATAAATTAATTAAACAGGGAGGCCATTAGACTGAGGTGGCTCTCTGCCTTGGCAGCCTACATAAAAGCACACCCAAACCTAAGCCTGTCACTGCCTCAAGATTATGAAATTGAAACGGAAGGACAGCCCATCACAAACAGCCAAATAGGCTTTCCCAAATAAGGCAAACACTTAAGCTCTATAGCCAATCAAAAAACTTCTTTGCGGGCTTCCCTGGTGGCACAGTGGTTGAGAGTCCGCCTGCCGATGCAGGGGACACGGGTTCGTGCCCCGGTCTGGGAAGATCCCACATGACACGGAGCGGCTGCGCCCGTGAGCCATGGCCGCTGAGCCTGCGAGTCCGGAGCCTGTGCTCCGCAATGGGAGAGGCCACAACAGTGAAAGGCCCGCGTACCGCAAAAAAAAAAAAAAAAAAAGCTTAAAAAACTTCTTTGCTTTGCTTCCGCATCTGTTCTCTAAAAGTCTTGCCCCAGCCCCTATCAGTGGATCTCTCTTAACCACTTCCAGTTTGGTGTTGCCCAATTGGAATGGATGTTTGCTGAAGTAAACTCTTCACAATTTTAATGTGCCTCAGTTTATCTGTAGCAACCCCGAGCATGAGCTGGTAGAGGAGTTTGCAGATGGACTGTTTTTTTTACTAAAGCCTAGGCATCCCACATGCAAGCCAATGGGCTCACTCTAGCTCCTCCGAGCTCTTCGTGCCACACAGCACTCAGTTCAAGTGTTCACTCTATATGCAAATGTGCACTTGTTTCAGCTGTTCACATGATATGTTCATGCATCTGTTCTCATGTCTCCCTCTGTCACCTCTCTAAAGACAGCCCCAAACCTACCCTGACTTCTTGTGGGAATTTCCAGTCCTACCTCCCCAACTGCCTCCTGGATATTTCACTCTGAATATTCCCATTTCATTTTCAGCCCAACATATCTATCAGCAAATGTCGAACGTTAAATGCCCCTCCATGGGCTACACAGCCTCAGCAGGGGCTGGAGGCATTCTGCAGAGCCAAAGGCAAGGTGGGGAGGTGGGCATCGAAAGCCATATAGCAGCACTGCCCGGGTCAGGGCTGTTTCCACACAATAAATAGATCCTATGAATTTTAAAGAGTTTAATCTTCTCAATATACATAATCATATAGGTAGACAGGAATGAATCAGAGTTATTTTCCCTTTCTATGTCCCAGAAAGCCCTTGACTCTGGAAGGGGAAGTATTTCCATTAGTGTGCCTCAGTGCGACCCTAGGTAATCCCTGCCCGCATCAAACACCAAGGCTACAGGGGTATCCCCAGTCCTGGGGAAATGGAGTAAAAACCTCCCAAGTCATGGTTCCCCCGGTGACCATAACTGGTAGTACAAAATCATCCTAAATCTTCATCAGTGACTCACAGTCAGATGAAATATAAGATTCATAAAATGTATACTGGAGCCCAGGGCGGAGAAATGATAGCGCCTAATTTGACTTTATGTGACTTGTAGGTAATGAATGGGAAGGATAGCATACTTACACAAATGTCCCCTTACTCATTAAATTCTTGTAGTAGAAAGAGTAACATCATTTTACGAATCATATAAAACAAAGAGTATCATGATGGTATGACACCATCATTCTCTCCTACTCACCTTTTACCAAACAATTCTGAGGCTAAGATTTCATCATCATCAAGATCTGAGCTAATATATATATTTTTAAATTGAAGTATAGTTCATTTACTGAGCTAATATATTTGTAATAAACAAAATTCCAGACCCGGGGTGCTATAGACTGAATGTATCCCCCTAAAATTCATACTGTAGGAGAGGAAAAAAATTTTTCCCCATCATTCTAAGTTCTTGGCTGGGGCCCCTGTAACAAGACAGATTAACATGAAAAAAATGAGTTTTTTAACATGTATACCTCATGTACACATGGGAGATACCCAGGGAAAAAATCGGTAACTCTCAGGGAGAGTTAGATTTTAAGCTTAGAATTCAGGCTTAAATATCATTTTTCAGGTAAAGCACAAAAAGAAAAGGTGTAGGGGAGGCCAGTTATGGGTTGGCGACCAGGAAAGTTTGGTGCCTTCTCCATTGCTGAGTCTTTAGTGATTTAGAGTCAACCTTTCCTTCCTGGTACAGAAAGGGAGTCACCCTTACAAATGGAGATTTCCTTTGTAAATACAAATTTCCCTTACACAAAGGGAAAAAGGGTAACTTCTACTCTGTTTTCAGAGGTTCTCCTGTGTCTGTTTCTCAAAATAATCCTTATGCCAAAGAGGCATATTTTGTGGTGGCATATTCTGCCATCCTTCAATATGTTGAAACCTAATCTCCAACATGATGGTATTTGGAGATGGGGCCTAGGCAGTTGATTATGTGATTAGGGATTAGTGCCCTTATAAAGAAACCCCAGAGAGCTCCCTCACCCCTTCTGCCATGGGAGGACTCAGTGAAGACTCAGTGAGAAGAGGACTGTTTATGAACCAGAAAGTAGGAGAAACTGAATCTGCTGGTGCTTTGATCTTGGACTTCCCAGCCTCCAGAACTGTTAGAAATAAATGTGTTGTTTATAAGCCACTCAGGCTATGGAATTCTGTTACAGCAGCCAGAACTGAGTAAGACAAGGTGTAGGCACATCTAGACGTGCCCTTAGACCCAAATTAGGGGGACGTTAGACCCAGCCTTCGCACCTGAGCCTCTAGGATGCATCCACTCTGTAACTAATGCCAAATGCTTCTCCACATCTCTTACCCTCTGTCTTCAAAACAAAGGCAGGGGACTTCCCTGGTGGTGCAGTGGTTAAGAATCCACCTGCCAATGCAGGGGACGATCGCTCATCCGGGAAGATCCCACATGCCGCAGAGCAACTAAGCCCGTGTGCCATAGCTACTGAGACTGCGCTCTTGAGCCCACGAGCCACAACTACTGAAGCCTGTGCTCCACAACAAGAGAAGCCACCGCAATGAGAAGCCCACGCACCGCAACGAAGAGTAGCCCCCGCTCACCGCAACTAGAGAAAAGTCCGCGTGGAGCAAGGAAGACCCAACGCAGCCAAACATACATACATACATACATACATAAATTTATTAAAAAGAAAAAAACAAAGGCAGATGGTTGGTGGTTTGGGCCACCGCCGAAGTGGAAGATGGACATTGCCTTGGGCTGTGGGAAGAATGTGAATGGCACAACCACTTAGGTAAGAGAAAAACTGAATTAATTAACTTGTCAATCCTTCCCTGAGATATGCGAATGCAGTAGGTTCTCACATGATGGATTACAATTTCTCTGGTGTCAGAAGCTGCTTCTCTTCATATTTGTAGTTTGCAATTCTGGAGGGTCTTATGACCGTCCGGAGGGTCATGGAGGGTGGTATTCAACACAGTTGCCCACAGCTGCTGAGGAACATCTTGCAATATGAAATATAAATTTTCATACACATAAACTTGCTGTAACATGCATGAAACATGATGTCAATTCTTTACAATGGAAACAAGATGGATACTGAACACAAGAATTTAAATTGCTTTGCTTTTACTAAACTATTAAATAGTATTTAAATACTTAAAAAATAAGTTCAAGATGTTAGCTTTAAAGAATTTTGATTTAAAATATTGATATTCATTAATAATTTGCTCTTTTTAATTTTAGCAGATAATCTTGACTATTTTAGAAAGTTTTAAATACATATATTAAATAACTTAAAATTTTGTATTGTTTGTATTAATTTTAATATACAGTTTAATGAGACACACTATTATGTATAAAACAGATAACCAACAAGAACCTACTGTAGAGCACAGGGGACTATATTCAATATTTTGTAATAACCTGTAAGGGAAAAGTATCTGAAATAGAGTAAATAAATAAATAAATATAAAACCAAATCACTTTGCTATACACCTGAAACTAACAGAACGTAAATCAACTATACTTCAATTTAAAAAATAGATAAATATACAGCCTGCGTAGGCTATGTAACTGTAAATACACACACACACACACACACACACACACACACAGAGTTTAATGAAAACCTATTTGAATACAACTATATTTTCATTTTTAATCCTCTAGTCCATTGCTAAAAAACTTGATAACATTATTAGTAATTTTGCTGAAGTGAAAGTACGAAAAATAGATTTACAGAAACACTTATAAATTATGTATGTCTTTTTTGTCTCACCCAGACATCAGTAGCCATCAACAGAACACTGACATGTGCACTAATAATTAGATTTAGTCAAATTTCACCCACTTCCTGTTGTATAAAAACCATCTCTTTAAACACGCTTTATTTTTGTCATTATGAAGGTATATTTATCAATGTAGGAGGTCAAAGCATACTTTATTTCTCAGCTGTTAGCTTGATTTATAGCTTTTAAATACTTAGACACTTGGAACGTGCCTCCATTTGAATGCTTGCCCTGCGTGTTAGTGAC